CATAATGTTTACAAAAAATAATTTAATAAATTTCCGAGAGCTAAAGGTCTTGGAAAATACTCTAATTCACATTTTACCCTGACACTACGGTTCCCGCCAGCTCACGTAAGATACGACCAGACGCTCATTCTTACATCTTATCTCTACACCGCGGTTTACGCCCACATCGAGCACATGAACGTGCATCAATACCACCATTACATTTGAGCTCACGGACACAAGCAGTGACGTCACACGGACGTTCTCCCACCACTCCGTACACTATAGCTCAACCCACGCCGGCTGCTAAGACGCCACCAACTTGCTGCCCCTACCACCACGAGTCTCCCACTACAACTACTCAACCCAAAGGAAGAAGGGGATTCACGCTCCAGGCTATCAAGAATACACGTCCAGATTTATCGCCAACAACATTAATGAAGAAACACTGTTTGGGATCAGACTAAAAGCCTCCCTGTGATGGTGAATGGAGGCTTGCTGGCAAGTGGAAGGAACAATGCAATAATTCAACACTGCCTTTGAATGTAGTGTCTTTCCCTTTATTGAATATAATAAATATAATAAATAGTCAGTGGTTTATGGATGTGGAATTGAATGTATGATACAATGAATAGATGAGAGTTTCTTCAATTAATATGAGCGACAAGAATCCTGTAAGTGTATTCTTGGTAGCTTGGTGCTTGACTCTCCTACTCGTAGTTTAGAACTAGTGGTGGTAGTGAGAGATTCGCGATGATAAGGGGCAGCGATGGTGCCGCCTTTGTCGTTGGAGCAAATGAGCGCTGTAGCGGTCTGAGAGTGGGGGACGCTCGTGTAACGTCACTGGTAAGGGGGCAGCGATGATGCCGCCAGCGAGGGATGAATGCTGTAGCGGTCTGAGGGAGGGAGGATGTCCGTGTCACGTCACTGCTTGACGGGTGGGAGGATTCATCGCACTGTATACCGTGTGTTAGTATTGCTGCTTACTTAGTTGACGGGAGCCGTGTATTAGTGATCCGTAAGAACGTGTGTAATAGCTTAGCTTACGTGTGTTGAGGTCGATCTCAGTGGCATTGGTAGTACGTAGGGACGTGTGTAATAGCGTAGCTTACGTGTCTTGAGGTCGATCTCAGTGGCATTGATAGTATGTAGGGACGTGTGTGATAGCGTTACGTACGTATTGGAATCGATCTCTGTAGCAGCTTCGGATGGCCGAATGAGCGTGGCTTTCGTTGAACTGGAGTCGATCTATGCAGCGTTGGATGGCCGAACGAGCGTGGCTTCCGTTGGACTGGAGTCGATCTGTAGAATGGCGATCCGATCTTGATGAGTGCTTGACTAAATTAGTAAGAGGACGAAAACGGCACGTTTAGCTCCTTAAATATGGTGACTGTTATTATGCCGCTATTTTTCGTGACGTCAATAGGGTATAGCTTTGTAGGGTTCACGTGTTAATACTTCTCGGAATTATGGTCGTACATTCGACTATTTTGCGTAGTGAAGCTGAAGTGAATTGTTTATGACTCGGCGCAAGTTTTTCTAACTAAGCATGGGTGACTTTACCTCTCCCACTATGTTTACCGTGTAAATTGCTGTAATCCGTAATAAACTCTCATCTATTCATTCTATCATACACTCATTTCGATATTCATAGATTATTAACTATTCATTATTTATTATATTTAATAAAAGGAAAGACTATAAACATTAAAGGCAGTATTGAATAAATGCATTGCTCCTTCCATTTGCCAGCAAGCCTCCACCCACCATCATAAGGAGGTTTTTAGTTTGATCCCAGACATCACTACAATTACATTTTTCATATTCTTTTAAATATTTGATAATAATAGTTTAGGAACGTATAAAAAATTATCATTATATGTATTCAATACATATACTTGTATATTTAATAATAAAATATTTTAGAATACTTCAGAAATAAATAAAAAGAAAAGTAGTTCATCATTTTTTGAGTACACAATTTTCTGCGTAAACAGTTTTCATGAGTTTGCAATAAGGATATTTCGTAGTTTTCCATATTTTAGCCTTTTTCGCTTAAAAACTATTTTCTTTTTTACACTTGCGTACTTACCACATTTTATCTACATAACTGAGAGAATTTCCAATTTCATGTAGTGTTGGTGCTTTTGTTTCCTTTAGTATCCTTAGTTCTTTGAAATGTTAGTTGACTTCTTTGAAAAATAAATGTATAAAGATTGAAATATGAAAAATGTGTTAGAATTTATAGAATATAGTTTAAAAAATTTATTTGTAGTTTATTTTCAGAAAGATTGATTTACATTTCATTGTTCTCGATTTTCATTTTTCTTTATTAAATACTAAAACTGTATTATTGAAATATCGTAGAAATAATCTAATTTAATTGAATTTATCTAAATAAACAGATTATATAAATGACATTTTTTTTAATTTTATTGTAGGATGAAAGTATATTATTTAGTTTGATTTGACAGTGAAAAATTGTATATTATTTACTATATATTTTCAATATACATGTAGTCATTTAATTTTAATTAAATATAATTATATTAATTATAGATTTTAACTTTCTTTAAATTGTACTGGCTGTGATTTTTCATTTCCTCTACAATTTGAACACGAGTTCGTATAATATTAAAATTAAAATTAACAATTGATAATTTTATGGATATAAAAGTGATTTCAAAGTTTAGTCAAATTAATATTAGTAGTATAAAATTTATATTAAGCTACATTGTAATGGAAGTAGGGATTTTCGCTGAATCTGATTAAATATGCCTGACTAATAAATATTCGTTCTATTGGAATTACTTTCTACTGGTTCTACTGGATTGGTTCTGCTGGAAGAGAAATTCGAAATGACGCCTCCATTGCATTTGACAATTTAAAAATGATATTGCTTTTCTGTCATTTCAGGACATTCTACATTCTGCATCAGGATATAACTGGCTTTCTATCATGAACAAAGAATTTAATAACGATTTTGTCAAAATTACTTGAAATTTTTCTCTAAACGATTTCTTTTGATTTGACGGCTTAATAATTTTTGGACTAACCGATATATAAATTATAATGTCATGATAAATATTCTTTAGAATTTTTCATATCATTATTTTAATTGCATGTTTTTTATTTTATATTTTTTTATTTTATATTTTTTATTTATATTTTACATATAATTTTAATGTAAATATTGAAATTAAACTGATATAAATTCTATAAAAAAATTAGGAAGTCAGATTAATCTGAGATGGTGGATTAATGTTAAAAATTCACATGATTTACATCTATTTACTTTGATAATATTTATTTTAATATTTTATAATTTTTGACAAATTTCATTAATAAAATAAAAATATTAAAATGTAATAATATATATATATATATATATATATATATATATATATATATAATAGATACACACTGGGTAAATTTTTTTTTTTAAATCATAGATATATAGTTTTTAGCATATTTCCTTATAATTTTTCAATATTAAATGAACAATCATAGTCCTATCAACAATATCACTATTTTTATATTCTGAATTTAAATTAGGCAGATTATGTTATCTTTTATAGCTAATTTAAATTCCAGTTATTGTCCGTTATATAGAATAATCTTATATTCTGATTATAGTTTGGGTTATTTCTAATATTTGCTTTTTCGGCGAATATTCTTTTATTAGATTTCTTTCTTTAAGTATATATGATGAGAATATTTTGTAATAGGAATCGAATTCCATTGTAATGTATAAATCAAGTGGATTAAGAAAATGAAAATGTCATTGTTCTTGTATCATTAATTTTTATACGAATTGTGTCTAAATTTTTTTTATAAGTAATCTCTGAAGAATACTTGAAACTTTTTATTCAATTTATGTATTACAATTATTTAAAATGGCTATACCAAAACTTAACATTTCGAAAAAACATTAAATTCGAAATAAATTCATCTTATTTTTATAATTTCTTTATTATAGAAATAAGCATATTATTTATAAGAATCTTCTGTTTTTGAAATAAAATTTAATTTTATGCGGAATGGTGACATTGTTATTGTCGTAAAATTGATTTTGTTTGCTATAAAGTATATCAAAGACGAATTGCAAAATGTTTAAATGATACTTGGGCTCTATTTTAGGTTCTCTATGTATACAAGAAGATATTGAAAAGTTATGAAATAACTGTATTGTATAGTGTTATGAATAAAATAATAGAAAAATCGTACTAATATAAATTTTTAAAATATATTTTATAATTGTAGAGATATTCAAACACGAAAATTACAGTTAAAATTAGAGAAATATTTCTTTTTTTAAAGTTTATATTCATTAATTATATAATGAAATAAAATGAATTTAAATCTTATCATTAATACAAATTTTTTTTAATTACTATCTAACATACATTTTGTGTTATCAATTGTTTTCATAAAAAAAATTTATGCAACGTTGTTCTATTTATATCGAGAAAATTGCTATAATTAGGTTGGAATTAAATTTATTACTATGTATATATTTTTAACTCAATTTATTAAAAATATAATTTATACATTTGAATAACAGTATAAATTGCCTATAAAATTTATTGAAATTATATTGAATTACTTCTTTATATAAAAATATAACTACGTTTAATTTATTACTGCAATGAGATCCTAATTTCTATAATGACTGGATGACCAATGAAAAATATTATTTCTTATAGTACAGTATAGTATAACATAAAAAAAATTTTTATTTAAAAAAAATTTATTTGTTTACTACCAATAATATTATATAGTATTATAAATAATATTAATAAGATATAATAGAATGAAAAAATTATTGTATATTTAAAGTAAAATAAATAAATATTTCCCTCTTAATTTATTATATTATAGTTGACATTTAAACGAAATTACATACAATATTTATAAATATTGTGTAGCACATTAATATTTTAAATTATATTATATATATATGAAAGAAATATTTGTTTTCATAATGAAAGTAAAGTTGAAAGTAGCTGGAAAATACTTACGATGCATCTCAATAGCTACGGAAGCGGATATTGGTTGACTGATGTTGTTGTTCGACGCTTGACAGGTAAATTGTGCATGCAAATCTGATCTGTCAAGTTTTCGAACAATCAATGTGTTTCTTTTTACAGTGATGAAGTCTCCGGGACTATCCTTACCATCTAGGAGCGTTTCACCGCGCCACCATCGGATTGTAGGCGCTGGACGACCTGTAAAAAGTTCATACATGTCATTTGTTTTTAATACGAATTTTTTTTACATAAATATACAAAAATTTATCTCATATAGTTATAAAGTATTGATGTGAATCTGGCTATTAAAATTTAATAAAATGTATTAATACAAGAATCGATTATATAATATTTCAATGATTCATAATTTAAATTTTATTTAATAAATTGTTAAATAAAATTATTGATACGTAATTCTTGATATTATAATTTATATTATTTATTATTTATTTATAAAAATGATGTATTAAATGAATATATATTCAGACTAGGATAAATATAAAGAAAGAAAGAGAGAGTTAAATAGAAGGAAGTGTTCTAAGAATTTTCTTATTAATAATGAAGCATGCATGAAACAACGTTTATATGAAAAATACTTATGATTATGAGAGAATCAAATTTTCTGTTTAAAATATTACTTAAATTATTCTCACATAAGAACAAAGATAAAATTACTTTTTAATTATTATTATACATTTTTAGATTATTTGCAAAACATATATATTCCTTGAAAAAACAATATATCGAAATTTATATATATTTATTTAATGAACTCATATAATTTTGTACAAACTTCTCAGTACCTAGCCTTAAAAAGAGATCAGGAACATTGAAAGTTATTAGTGCAAGGTGATAAGGATTGTAAACACTCTATGCAGGATCTTTATATATCTACCATGGACTGATTATCCTCTGTTGTTTGGTCTTTGTCATATTCATTGTTTTAGTTGTTTGTTGAACGTATCAATTTATAATTTATATTAAATTTTTTGCACAGATAATATTTCAAAGATATGTTATAATAAATTAGATCGAATTAGAAAATTACACACACACACGCCCGCGCGCACGCACACACACAAAGCAAATAAATTAGTAAAATTAAGAGAGAAAAGGAAAGAAAGTGGACAGAAGAATAATCAGTAAATGACAAAAAATATAAAAGAGTAAGAGAGAATAAATTATAAAAGCATAACTATATTATTACTATTTTTTACATAGTATTATTTTATTTGGATGTTTATACAAAATTATGTTAACAAAAGTGAATTCATATAATAAATTATTGTATCATAGCACATGTATTGTTATTGTTAACAACTGTAAATTATTATTTGTTAAAAATTAAAAAAATATATATAATTTAAAAAAGATTTCACGAAAGTAATAATATAAATAAATTTAAAAAAATGTATATCAATCAATGTTACTTTTAAATAATTTAACATTAAGATGAAGTTAATATAATGAATAAAATATTTTTAGAGTACAATTTTTTTTTTAATATTGATTTAGTAAAATTAATTATAATTTTTTCATGTAATTTTTTATATACTTTTTTTTTATACATATGATGTATATAATAATAATTAATACGAAAAAATTTTCTGTTTATTTTGAATCTTGAATTATAAATGGTTAATCTATAGAATTATTGATAATTGGTTTATAATACTATTTATACTGATGATATTAAATGTCTTAGCATCTGTATTAGATGAATTTTACAGTCTGCTTATATGATACAGACATTTTATAAAGTGAAAGAACAATTTTAGTATTACTAAGCTTCGACATACTGATAAAATGAGTAATGAAAATATATTTACGTTATATCTTTTTATATAATTCAGCCTTTGCAGCATGATTTAAAATTATTTTTTATGTGGATAATAATATTAATAAATTTGAAGAATATATATATTTGGATATACATAAAGAAAGATAATTTCTATAATTATTAACTTTCAGAAATTTAGTAATATTTTCAGAATATTATTTTATATTATTTAGGTATTTCGTATTTTCGTCGTTATTTAGGTAGGATTCGTGTTAAATAGAAATTAATGTACCTATAATAAAATATTTTAATATGTAAAATGTAATATTAAAATTACCTCCAGATACAAGACATGTAAGTTTCATATCACCACCTTCTGTATATGGGCCAGCTTTTGATCCTACGTTATTCCCATCTTCATTAATAATATTTGGTTTGTTGGGTGGAACTGCAAAAATAAGTGAAAATAAATTATAGAATCAGATTTCTGCTTTACTGTTGTAAGAAACAGTACTACGTAATTGTTTATATTAGAATATATATATATATATATATATATATATATATATATATATATATATATATATATATATATATATATATATATATACATATTGAAATACCAATTTGTAAATTTAAACTCAAATAATAAAAAAGTATTATAATCTGGTTCCATGAATCTTAAATTTATATTTAGTTAGATGCTTAATTCTACTAAAAAATTCCCAAGATGCTAATTTATAAGATCAGAATGTTACAAAAATAATAACAATAACAAATCCATTTAATGTTTTCGATTTTCAATGATTATTTTTTTATAATTAACATCTGAAATAAGATAATATAAGAGACAGACTTTAATTTATAACTTGATCAATACTCTAAATCTAATTTTATTTTCCAGCATGCATACAATAACTGTTCAGTATACAAGAATAATAGATACAATAGTATAATGTTATAAGAATGCTGTAATGATATTATTTTCACAGGACTTTGTACAACATAAACAACGGATATAAAATAAAAATTCAAACGTAAAAAAAAATTAGGATAACGAAATGTGTTCGAGATTGCGAGACCTTTTTTCAATGCAATATAACATTTGGCAAACAACATCGTAATATTTGTGTTTAGATTTCAAAACTTTCTTGCTCGCAACCATGTAGCAATAGTGTCATAAAACATCTGGAAAAACAATACAATAAACACAGGAAAACCCACTCAGTTAGGCATATGTACGAGTCCGCTCCGTTCGGTAATTACTTCAGGCATTATGCGAGCGGAACTTCCCCCCCCCCCCCT